GGTGGTAAAGGTGTTGGGAAGTTGTAATCTTCAAGAAGCGAAAAAACCCAACCCTATTTTAGATTATTTTATCCTTAATTGCACTAATTTTTTTTAAATCATAGAACCATAGATTGTTAAGGGATCAGAATGGACCATAGAGATCATCCAGCCCCAACCGCCTGCCCTGGGCAGGGACACCTCCCACCAGAGCAGGTTGCTCAAGGCTCAGCCAACCTGGCTTTGAAATCACGTCCCTAACATGTATATCACCTCCCTAAAGTGTTTCCTCCCTGTCCTTGAGCTGTCATAAATGGAGTCCCTGTGCTTGTATCCCAATGCTGTCACCTTTACGTGCTCCTTCAGATTGTTTGCTCCCATCCATGTGTTGTTCATACGTGTAAGGAGGAAGCCATGTGGTGGACACACAGTGCAATCCTTACATAGCTCTACCCATGTCTAGTCTGCTGGGCAAATACCCCACTGGGACACACTCCTGGATCCTTCTGGTGCTTGGAAGAGCTGATAACTAAATGTTAATCCACCTGGGCTCTCCTGCAGGATGGTTATGGGGCTCCAATATATATGATTGTTATAAGAGATGATTTAAGGACATTAGAGAGATGAAAAAATGTATGTATTTTGTGTAGTCTGAAGCTGTCACATCTAGAGGTATCAGAGTAAAACCAGACAGTAACAGGGATTGTTAATATATTTCTCCAAGCAATGTAGGAACCCAAGTTCATAGAAGGATCATGCCCTTCTCAGGGTGTCTCATAGTTAATCCAAACTGAATCCAAACTAATCCCAATGTGAAGAAATAAAATGAAAAATAAGTACTTAATACTTATTTCATGGTGGGTCTGTATTTTCCAAGCCTATTAAGAAGATAACTCCTGACAGGATTATGAGGCTGAGTGCGTTATTGCCCATGTTTCTACAGCTGGAAAACAAGCTTTTTTGTCTTTGCTGGAAAATGAGAGTAGAGATTCTGTTGTTTAATCTCCTAAAGACAATAACAACAACAAAAAGAAACCCACCCTGGGGAATGATTAATACTTTCCATCCAGAAATCTTGCCTAGAAAGCATGTTTCCTTTTGAACAGGCTATTAAAGAAAAACCCCAAAGCAAAAAAAAAAAAAAAATCCACGCATGATTGTTCGGGCAGTGAAACAGTTCACAAGCATGAACCTCTGTGAATTTCCCAACACACCTGAAAGAGTTGTAGCTTTTTCCGTGCTGGCCCAGCTTCATGTCTGTGCATGTCCTGGGTAAATCATAGTATCATAGCATGCTAAGGGGTTGGAATGGAGCTTAGATATCATCCAGCCCCAACATCTGCCCTGGGCAGGGACACCTCCCACCAGAGAAGGTTGCTCAAGGCTCATCCAACCTGGCTGTGAACACTGCCAGGGTTGGGGCAGCCACAGCCTCCCTGGGCAACCTGGGACAGTGTCTCACCACCCTCACAGAGAAAAACTTCTTCCTGATACCTAATCTAAATTTCCTCTTTCAATTTCTCTCCATTACTCCTTGTCCTGTCCCTGCAGCTCCTAACACAGAGTCCCTCTGCAGCTTCCCTGGAGCCCCTTCAGATCCTGGCAGGTGCTCTGAGGTCTCGACGCAACCTTCTCTTTTCTAGGCTGAACAGCCCCAACTCTCTCAGCCTGTGCTGGTAGGGAAGGTGCTCCAGGCTCTGATTAGCTTTGTGACCTCCTGGACTTGCTCCAGCAGTTCCATGCCCATGTCCAAATGCAAAGCTATTGACACCAGAGTCTTTCTCATCTTTGAGGATTGCTGCTTGCACCTGACATCAGCAGAGGCAAAGCCCCTGAGCCAGATGTGTGGTGATCCATAGCTCTGCCCAGGAGAGCACATCCATGAGCTACAGCACGGACATGGGCTTGGTTATTCCCCTGGGTCATTCCTTCTCTTTGCCACCATCACCCTATGTAATGTGGCACTAACACTTTGCAGTTTCTGGCTTGATGGCCCTTCCTCAGAGTCCTCATACCTTTTGGAGTCACTTATTTTGGCCCTCTGTAAAGAGCTGGTGGACTAAAGGGAGATTTGTATTTAGCAGAGAATAGGAGATACCCTTAAAAAATCACCACATCACCTGTCAGGTTTGTCACCATTCCCATCAGCACAGGTGTCTGCAGTTAACATCTCAGTGATGAATCATTCTTCCTATTGGATTAACAAGGCATTCTGTTGTAGCAAATGTCTGGATAATCCATTAGCTAAATGACCTACTAACCCTTTAGCTCAGCATTACACACACACACACACACACACACACACACACACACAGACCCACACCCACCAGAGCTGTCCTTGTTTAGAGGCTCAGGGCAGGGCTGGAAGGTGACCTGGTGTAGGTGGAAGAATGGTAGGAAGGGTTGGCAGGACAAATTATTAGAGGAAAATGTTGAGAACACACCTTGAAGTGGGAGAAGGAGTGATTTTGGTGACTTCTCTCAGCTGTGCATCCTGGTGTTAGTATTTGTGTCCTGGGCTAGAAGGGAACAAGTCTTTCCCCCTGTTTCAAGAGATCCTGGTGAAGTCATCAAGAATGATGAGAGCAGGAACTCATCAGGATGACAGAAAATTGCCTTGTGCATAGTTTCCTGCAGGCAGTTTGCAAATTAAAATTGAAATATATGTGAATATGCTTCTTTTTTTAAACCAAGATGCTCTACAAGATGCTCTACCAACAGCTAGGAATGAAGGGGTTTATCTTCTGCCTTGCTGGACACTCCCAGCACTAACAAAGGAAGCCAGTGGCATTCTAACTGAATGGAGCCATTTGCAAGACCTGCAGTTCAGTTTTCAAGAGTGGGAACTGATGCTTGACAGGAAAGGAGTACGATAACAAATGTCCTTCAAGCTGAGCTTTTGAAAACAAAACCTGCAGGTGTTGATCTGCAGTGCTTTCTTGCCATGAGTTCGCTTTTTGCAGGTAAAGGAGCCCAAATTTGTGATACAGCTAAATAAAAAAAAAAGGGAGTTCTTGGATTTTTTTCCCCTTCTATTTAAAAAGAAAAAAACCAACAAACCAAACACACATTTGATGTCATTTAATTGATCTCTTTAATTTCAAAAATACTTCATCTGCAATATAGAAAATGACAGACTAATGTGGCAATAACAGCCATAACTTCGTGTTTGTCCGTTTTATAGGGAGGTTGACTGAAAACATCTCCCAAGTTGGCTGATTTTTGAAGGACCTAAACTCAAATTGTGGTTACTATCACAATGCTTAAATCACAGGCTGAGCAGTGTGGTCCTGTTCTTAGGTTGCTGGAAGAACAGATCCAGAATCAGAAAAGAGACTATGAGGAGGAGCTAGAAATTCTGCACAACAACTTGGATGAAATGAAAGAGGAGATGAAGACGCAGCATCAGACTTACCTGAGAAGCCTGAATCTCTCCACAGAGAGCCACGTGGCGAATGTACTTCAACAAGAAATTGCACGTCTCACCGATGAAAACCTGGTAAGAGCCTGTGCTGGAATCACAGCAAAGGGGGAAAAAACAGGTTGACAGAAAGGAGATAGGAATCACAGGATGGGGAGGGGAGGGCACTGAGATCTCTTCCACTCCTCCCAAACTCTCTGCAGAATCCACAACCATCTCCCACTGATGCATTTAGGAGCATTGGTACTTGGCCTTGAGCAGTTGTTCACGGAACGAGTTAGGTTGGAAAGGACCACAGTGGTTCATCTGGTCCCACCTCCTTGCTCAGGCAGGGCCAGCCCAGAGCACATGGCTCAGGGTTGTGTCCAGATGGTTCTTCAATGCCTCCAGTGAGGGAGAATCCACGACCTCTCTGGGCAATCTGTTCAGTGCTCAGTGATTGCATATAAAGAAGTTCTTACTCATATTCTGGTGGAACTTTTGTGCATCAGTTTTTGCTGTTATCTTGTTTTATTGATTTCAACCACTGAGCAGAGTCTGATCTTCCTCTTGGCACTTCCTGTTCATGGACTTGAATAGATTATTGAGGTCCTGATCAGTTGTCTCTTCTTGAGACTGAACAGCCCCAACTTCCTCAGCCTTTTCTCATCAGTGAGGTGCTCCAGTCCCTTCAGCATCTTCACTGCTCTCCTCTGGACTTGCTCCATGAGCTCCATGTCCCTCTGGCCCTGAGGAGCCCAGAACTGGATACAACACTCCAGGTGTGGCCTCACAAGGGCTGAGTAGAGGCAAAATCACTCCCTAATGCACCCCAGAATTCCACTGGCCTTCTTGGCCACAGGACACACTGCAGCTCATGGACAGCTTGTTGTCCACCAGAATCCCCAGGTCCTTCTCCGCAGAGCTGCTCTCCAGCAGGTCAGCTCCAGTCTGTTCTGGTGCTTGCAACATTATATTTTTTAATTTTTAAACCCTGCCTACTTTGTGGCACTGCCTACCAAGTGAGATTGCTGTGAGGGACCCCTCTAATGATGTACGAGGACAACACAATCCCTTCTTCTTACTTGAGTGTGGAGAGGCAGTTGCCACCTCAAAGAGTTGGCCGGGTTAATTTGTGAATTTTCCTTTCTCACCTCCTGTATCCGTGTGCAAGATGGGGAGTGAACACTGGTTTCTCCTGAGTTCAGGTGAGGGCTTCTTGCCTTCTCAACAATTCTAGTATCTAAGTAGTGTTGGGACTGTTTGAATATGATTAACAGCTAGGATTAAATGCTGAGGGTAGGGTATTGTCTGCTGTAGGCTGCTTCTGGAAAAAGCAGGTGCCCACCATCTTTGCCACACCGTCTTTGTGGTGTAGGTAAGGGACTCTGAGCACTTCAGAAACAACACAGCTCTTCTATCCAGATACTCACACCATGCCATGGTGATGCTCAAACCAGACTCCAGCCTTAAACTCACCCCAAATGAGTTGTTCTTGAGTTTACTGTTGTTTTGGAGGTTTTATTTAATGTATCTTCTGTTTTTCAGGATCTTAGAGAGCTGTTAGAAAAGTTTGGAAAGAATGAAAAGAAGCTGAAGAAGGAACTGGTGATTTACAAGAAGAAGGTCCAAAATCTTGAAGGTGACTCAGCTGATAAAAGAAATCAAGGTGAGGGAACTGCACTTGAGTTTTGCTTCTTTGCCCAGCCTGGGGGAGCCTCAGGGGTTTTATTCTGGGTTTTTTTCTATAAAAGTAAGATTTTGCTCATTCTGGCACAGAACTAGCAGCAGGCACTGAGCCGACACTGACCCTTACTGGGGTTTGGAGGGTATTTGAAGAAACCTCTTTGGCTTTCGTTGCGGTCAGTGCAGATACAGAGAGGAGACCAGTGGCCAGCGGGCAACTGCTATGATCTGTCAGTTTTGAGGAGGGTGATAACCCTCTAGGATTAAAATGTATATTGATGAGAAAACACCTCAAGTGTGGCATCTCTGTTATGTAGAAACAGCTTCCTATCCCCTGGAGAAGATTAATCAGAGATCCCCATTCTCATGAGCTAACTTCTGGAAAGCATGCATTAAGTGAAATTAAGCTGAATAACTGGAGGGTTTCCATGGCTTACATGCTGGTCTTTTCTGCTTTAGTAAACTTCTGAGGAAGCACAACACGCAGCAGTGTGCCACTGTGGTTCTGCAGCTTTGCAGACAGACAGAAGATGTCATGCTTAAGGATTTTTCATTGCCTGCCTATTTCTTCCCCCCTCTCTGTGAAAATCATACGCTAAAAAGCTTCCCACAGGTTTACTGCATTCTAGTCTCTGGTGGAAAATAAAAAATGGCTTAATTTTTTCCTCCTTTGGTTCAACCTCTGCACTTTTTTTTAGTTCAGAGTCGGAATTCTGCTGACTGCTAAGTTCAAAGACCTGGTTGCTAATATTTTTTATTCAAAGCTGATGACATCATTGGAAATTGAACATGTAATTCTTTGACTTGGTGTCAGCACTAAAGCCAGTAGAAGACCTGAATGGTTCTTGATTTCCA